GAAGAAATGTAATGTTTCTCAGTAATGTAATTAAGTTATATGTAAAGTAATCAGTAGTATAAATTATAATCTAGGTTGACTTTTGACTTTTATTGTTGTTATTGTCTAATAGCCAAGGTAACTTTTCCTACTACTTTCTGTCAACCTTTGGGATCTGGGCTATTACTTCTGGTATTGGCATGGATTACCCATGCGACCATTAAGAAAATATTATACTTGTTTTTGGCTGAGTTGTAATTGAAAATGGCTTCCTCTCTTCTTGTATCCCTAAGTGACATTTCAAGAAAGAGTAAGAGCTATGTATTTCTCCTTTACGTTGATTTTCCGGTGTGTGTGCGTGTGTGTGTGTGTGTGTGTGTGTGTGTGTGTGTGTGTTGTTTTTTTTTCTTTCGTTAAACGCTGGGCCTGTGGTGTAATGGTCAGCATGCTCGGCTCACAAGAGAGTGGTCCTGTATTCAATTCCCTGGCAGGGTGTAACGATGGGCAAGTTTCTTTACGCCGTTCGACTCTGTCTACCCATTAGTAATTGGGAACCTGGACGTTAATAGATTTGTTGATCGTGTTTAGGGGTAATGATTAGCCAGTGCAGTTGGCAGGTTGTCCGGTCTTCTTGGACTATTCTTTGACATTGGGTCATGCAACTCGTTAACTCAGGATGTGGTTGTTTGAGATGGCGATAACTTCCACACCTAAACAAACTCAAGCCAAGGTGGCCCTAGGGCCGGCCATCCTCGTTACACGAGGGGCAACCATTATATTATGAAAGCTGGAGGGATCTTGTCTGAATATCATGACCATAACAGACGTGGTGTGAGTGAGTTGATCCAACCACAACTTAACTTGTCTCCCTGCAACACAAGTGTTCCGCCATTCTCTTAAAATACCCGAATCTGTGATAAAGTGAACATAATAAAACGTGTAAACAGTCATTACTCTCCCAGTGAATTACATAGAATAGACTAAAGAGTAAAACACCAAAAAAAACATAAATTATGATCACTGATTTTAACGGTATATGAGTTTCTAAATACATTACTAGACTGTCTCCTCCAAAAAAATTATACTGTCGCTTGGAGACTCTTTACCTATACACATGAACCTAGTGTACATATAGATATAGTGTACATATTGACATAGTGGACATAATGTACAAATGAACATAGTGTAATATAGAAAAGGTGTACTGGTGGACACAGTGTACTGTACAGGTGGGCAGAGTGTATAGATGGTCATAGTGCACAGGTGAACATATTGTACAGGTGAACACAGTCTACCGGTGGGCATAGTGTACAGGTGAAAATAGTCTACAGATGGGCTGTGTGTACAGATGGTCATAGTGTACAGGTAAACAAAGTATACAGGTGGTCATAAAGTACAAGTGGGCATAGTGTATAGGTGAACATAGTGTACAAGTGAACAAAATGTACAGGTGGACATACTGTACATATAGTTCTTGTTCATGGTATACTAGGAAATTAATTGTGTGTAATTCCTGATCATCTTACACCAGGAAACTTCTTCACACATGGACACTGGCGCTACACATGTCCTTGGTAAATGGTTCAAAGTATTGAGACAAACCCTCGGGAATCATAATATGTGGACTCGTGGAGGTTGACTCAGGCATTGTTGGTAGTTTAGTCAACAAGGCTGGTACAGTGGCGGCCGTCGGTCACAACCACAAGTTGAAGAAAATTATAATTATAATAATAAAAAAAACCACCAATGTGTTTGTGAGTTTTGTCGGACTGCTTACTGGTGGGCGTGTATGTTGAGTGTTACCTAGGGGGACGTTGAGAATCGTGAACCCCAAACACGACATTTCCTCAGAGAGGAACTTAACTTTATGGTAACAGTCACACACTGGCCCATACCACTCCTCTATGATATGACAGCACAAGTGTCATCATACCATATTTCGTAAAGAAGTGATCCCAGGGAGGGACACACACAAGGTGCCCTGTTATCACAGCCAAACGTCGCTCACCAACACACTCCGGGCCAGGTGCGACCAGCGGACCAGCGAGGCAGGAGGAGCACGAGTCTCACTCTACCATCGACTAGTCACAATCTTTTATAATTTGGTGATGATATTTATATACCGTATTGACGATGAAGGTCATGAGTCATTCAGTGTTGCTGAGACTTCAGTGAACATTCATTCATTCACCCTCACATACACGTATTCTTCTACACTTGTATGGATCTTCTGTTGTGTGGGTCTTTTTGTGGAGGGTCTTTTTGTGGAGGGTCTTTTTTGTTTGGGTCATTTTTTGTGGAGGGTCTTTTTGTGTAGGTGTTTTTGTGTAGGTCTTTTTGTGTGGGTCTTTTTTGTGGTGGTCTTTTTGTGGAGGGTCTTTTTGTGTGGGTCATCTTTTGTGTGTGGATTTGTGTAGGTTTGTACGTTTGTATTTATATAAAGATTTGCTTATAAAGTTTTAGTGTGGAAGTGAAGCGATAGTTTATTGTTTGGAGAGAGAGAGAGAGAGAGAGAGAGAGAGAGAGAGAGAGCTATGAACACAACATTGACCTGAGGAGAACACGAGAGCCCCTGAATGTGAGCGAGCCAAGGTCCTTCCCTGAGGTTCACCTTTGTCATAATTTCCCCAGGAGACGCCGCCCTACCTGACCATGGTGTGAGGCTGGCGTGCTGTCTGTCCCCCAGGGTCCTGCATACCTATACGTGGTCTGCTTACGGTCCCTACTGGTGATACATCCCCCCCCCTCCCGCGGCCACCTGATGGTTGCTGTGATGGGACTTTACATGTCTACCTGTGTTGAGAGTCGCATGACTTAACTGTGTTGATGGGGCTCACGTGTCTACCTGCGTCGAAAGCCACCTGTCTTACCTGTGCTGACGGGGCTCACGTGTCTACCTGCGTCGAAAGCCACCTGTCTTACCTGTGCTGATGGGGCTCACGTGTCTACCTGCGTCGAAAGCCACCTGTCTTACCTGTGCTGATGGGGCTCACGTGTCTACCTGCGTCGAAAGCCACCTGTCTTACCTGCGCTGATGGGGCTCACGTGTCTACCTGCGTCGAAAGTCACGTGTCTTACCTGTGCTGATGGGGCTCACGTGTCTACCTGCGTCGAAAGCCACCTGTCTTACCTGCGCTGATGGGGCTCACGTGTCTACCTGCGTCGAAAGCCACGTGTCTTACCTGTGTTGATGGGGCTCACGTGTCTACTTGCGTCGAAAGCCACGTGTCTTACCTGTGCTGATGGGGCTCACGTGTTTACCTGCGTCGTAAGCCACGTGTCTTACCTGTGTTGATGGGGCGACCTGATAGAGGTGTATAAGTGGAAGGCAGGGCTAAACAAAGGGGACATTACAAAGGTACTCAAACTATCCAACCAGGAGCGAACTCGTAACAATGGTTTTAAATTAGACAAATTTAGATTTAGGCGTGAAATAGGTAAACACCGGTTTGGAAACAGAGTAGTGGATGAATGGAACAAGTTACCAAATATCATCATTAACTCGAATACTCTGAATAGCTTCAAACATAGGTTGGATGCTTATATGAGCAATAGGGGTTGGGTGTAAACGGGACTGCCCAGTATGGGCCAATAGGCCCGCTGCAGTTTCCTCCATTCTTATGTTCTTATGTTCTTATGTTGTAGAGTTTCATTTATTACCTGGGTTTGTGTCTGTGTAATAAGAATTGCAGTTTGTATTTCCCTTTTTATTCCTTCCGTTCTTCGTCCATATTCCCTCCTCTCTCTCAGCGTCCTGCCCAGGGTTTGCCTAGTCGTCTTCAGTTCGTCTTACAGCATTTCATGTAAATCGTATTACAGAATCATTTTTTTTATTCGAATTTCCCGTCTCCTCCTCCTCCTCCTCCTCCTCCTCCTCCTCCTCCTCCTTCTTTTTCTCCTTCTCCTCCTCCTCCTCCTCCTCCTATTGATCTGTGTATTTTTCTCAATTAAATTATTTAATTAACTTTTATTTGCAGTGTATTATGACAAAGGAAAACACAGGTATATATTATTACCTTACTGTATTCCTGTATAGTAGCTGAAGGTACAGCATCCACTTCTTCACCATGACGACTCAGCTGGCAGCGAATCACTTCAAATGAGTCGTTCCGTGACTAACAACTTGTTATATTAATGAGGGAATTATAAAAACAAATGTGAAAATAACAAATGAAATGTGGAAGGCTCGTTGCGTAAACTCGGGGGATACTGGTGGGACTTGAAGGGGGGGGGGACCACATGGCATAGAGAAATGAACCTGAATTATTCCGTATTATATGGTGACGTTCTGGATGATAAAATGCCTTGACAAAATATATGCAATTACCTGTTGATAACTACAAGAAAAATTACAGCTACAGGAACAATGATAATTATAAGAATGTTGATAACTACAAGAATGTTGTTAATTACAAGAATGTTGATAACTACAAGAATGTTGATAACTACAAGAACTATCATAGACACTAAATCTTTTGAACGAAAATTTGACCCGTTTCTTGCCTTGGCCTTCAGAATTTCAACTTTATCTAACAGAAAATTATTGTAATCATTGAGACTTTGGCTTATGTGGTAAAAAAAACCCGCAAAGGGTAAGAGTTGTGTTGTGTTGTATTGTGAGTTGTGTGGTGTTGTGTTATAGGGAGAGTTGTGTTGTAATGTAGGGAGAGTTGTGTGGTGTTGTGTTATAGGGAGAGTTGTGTTGTAATGTAGGGAGAGTTGTGT